TATATGCAATTGTCAGGCCACATATGCTGTTATTTTTTCTCGGCTATTTATATATATACGGGTTAGTGGTGCATTGTGGGTATTCTATTATGGCGGTTATTTTTTACTGGAAGTCGCTTTGTTTATTTATTTGGGTCAAATTATATTGCTCGTTTTTTATTTTTTGTTTCTTAATTTATTTATTTATTTATTAACGTAGCAAAAAATTGTTTATATCACGTATTTAACAGAGAATATCTGGTCAGGTGCTTCTGCCATGGATTTAGAGATAAAACACAAAGAATCTGCAATGTCATTGCTCCTGATCTGGCATCTCGGCTTCTGTCACTTTCCCGCCGCCGTAACGTGACCTCGCTTTGCCTTTTCTATAAATATATGCATGGTAATTGTTCAGATGAACGTCCTTCTATGGCACCTAGACTTCATGAATTTAAGTGCAGTTCTGGATTGGCGGCAAGGTCTCGTCATTTTACATTTGAAATGGCTAGATGTAACCGTAAGTTCTATGCTAACAGTTTCTTCTCTTGCACTTCTTGTGTGTGGAACTCTCTTCCGACTTCTCGCTTTCCAGTCATTTTTTAAAAATTTAAATGGAATATCAATCGTTATCTTTTGTCTTCTTAATTCCCGTTCTTTTATTGTTCTCACTACTTAATATTTTTTTCATATTCTCTAATATCCAGTAACTCCTTACGTCTTAGTGGTTTTATTGCCTTGCTTGAGAGACAATGATTAAAAAACCTTGCCTATGGTTTAAAATTTGTCGCCGGGATTGATAAAGGAGACCTAGTTGATACAATAGTTAAAAATCATGGACAAAACTATACCAAATTTACCAAAGTCTTCGATCAAGGAATAATTACTGCATATACAAGCACAAAGAATGAAAGAACTTTATCACAGATGCATTTAAGAAAATAAAGAAATTCTTATTACCTCTTCGGGCAAAGAAGAAATTTAAAATTTAACTTTTTCCAAATCAGAGTTAAATTTTAAATTTCTAATTCCGACACGAACACAGTCTATACACCGGGGTTGAATAAGACTAACGCACTTCTCGTTAGATAAAATAGATCTATACCCCACTATATGAGGTAATTTTGGATTTTGTTGTGTAGTTTATAGGATCTGTTATAATAAATACATTGAGATCTTTTTATCGATCTCTTTTAATATTTGATATTACTCGGATCCACTTTGATTATATACCAACGGATTTATTACCTGTACTATATATATATATATATATATATATATATATATATATATATATATTGTGTGTCTATTTAGGCAGTATTTTTCATTGATGCATGTTTCATTAAATAATATAGCCAAGTTTTGTTTTCATTTTATGCAAATTCCTTTCATATTGTCTGATAAGCTTAATAACATTATCATTGAAAGACAAAAGAAAATCACCATATTGATACATGTTTTTTTAGTCCTATTTAAGCTTTCGGCTTACATAAGCCATCACCAAAGATGACAATAACATTACAATATATTAAACAACACACGGACATGGCAATAATGATAATCTGTTTTTATTTGCATGGAAGATTTCCAAGCAATGACAAACTCGTGCATACGAGATGCTGGAAGCGAAAATCGTACCGCGGTTTATGACGTCACACAGGATCACTCGAGAGTGAAAACGAGAAGTGTTAAGTATGCTTAAAAAACATAATGCTTAAAAACAATCAGCCAGTATATATATATATATATATATATATATATATATATATATATATATAATACTGGCCGCTTGTTTTAAAGCATTGTGCTTTTGAGTCGACTAAGGCCGTAAAATGATTCTTGTTGAAGACAGCTGCGTGTTGTTCCCCCAAGTCCACAGAATACTCCCTGGAGTTCAATCATCAGAAGCGATAACGTAATTCGATTTATGGTCCCCACTTATCCCTAGAGACGGCATCGCAATTTTTCTGACATACAGTTTTGTCTTTCTTTCATTCTAACTTGAAGACGCTCTCGGGAGCTGAAACACTCAGTGAAACGCGTCGTTTATAGTTTTTCCACATTGTCTCCTTATCTTCACTTTTTTTTTTTTTTTTTTTTTTGACACTATTATGCACCTAACAGACAGTCAGCGTCCAGGATAAGACGATAAACTACGTCCAACGGCAAGGCCTCTGATCAGAAGATTTTGAGGAGCGTGGAACCACTCTTCTTTCTCTCAAATTATTTCGTATTCAATTAATTCCTTGAGTCTTAGTGGCTTTATTGCCTTGCTTGGAATAAAATTATTAAACTTAATTTCTGTGTCCTGGGTAAGACGATAAACAGCAAGGCCTCTAATCAAGAGGTTTTGAGGAGCGTATAACTACCTCTTAAATACTAGTGTTACCAGGTCCACCCTGACCCTGTGTGGTAGCACCTGTTACGGTCCCAGTTATGGGGAAATAGTTAACCCCCAAACTGGAGTCAAAAAACTATGAAAGTGTAAAAATAGGTTTCAATACCACCAATACATTTTTGAAGGAAAAAATTTTACCAGTAAGATATTTTTCCTCAAAAATATTATGGCAGTATATTTTTGTCAATTATTACCAGCAAAAAAAAAAAAAAAAACAACTTTTCGGCATTAAATAGCCCATTGAGGTTGATATGCCGTAAAACAAACCAAACCGCAGATACACACACACACACATATATGAGAGAGAGCAACAGATAGATAAAAAGAAAACTTATCTTAAAAGACGCGTTTCGTCTTCTGATGGACTTAAGGCAAATGTCGGCTGAGACGAGTTTTCCTTTAGTCTTTATTCATATTGTCATTTTGCAGTTATATTTTTGTAATATAAGTGAAATTATATACACACAATTGTATCGCTCCTTTTGAATGCTTGTGGTAATAAGAGTGCTCAAGGAATAATAACAGTTACAATTTATACTACTAATAAAAATACATATTGTTCCTCGGCGGTAACACAACTCTAGTTTCATGCATGATGCAATCGTCATGGATTGAAATATTTATATATATATATATATATATATATATATATATATATATATATATATATATATATATATATATATATATATATATATATATATATATATATATATATATATATATATATATATATATATACTTATATATATATATATATATATATATATATATATATATATATATATATATATATATATATATATATATATATATATATATACTTATATATATATATATATACTTATATATATATATATATATATATACTTGATAAGTTTGATAACATTATCATTAAACGAAAAAAAAGAAATTCACAATATTGATCCATATTTTTTTAATATAATCTAAGCTTTGGCTTACTTCAGCCATTATCAAAGATGTAAATCACAAACATATTAAACAATATACGGACACGACAGTGATGATAGTCTGTCATTGTTTACATAGTTGATCACTGAGCAACGATAAACACGCGCATATAAGACGCTAGAAGCGAAAATCGCACCGCATCTCATGACGTCACACATGACTACACGAGAGTGAATTGTAGAATGAAGTAAGGAAAGCCGTTGGTATAAACCAATGGCTTCTGTTACCAATTATAGACATTTAAGAATATTTGTAGAGATGCCATAATTGATTTTGTTTAGGTTGGGTTTTAACTGTTTGATGTATAATGCTTCAAGTATTTTTAGTTTTTGTCTATTGTTTTCATGTCGAAGTATACTTTATATATATATATATATATATAATATTTTGTGCGTGTGCGCAATTTGCTATGTTTATTTAACTATAAAAATTATCTACATGCGTTAGTATTATTTTATTTATTTCAGGATAAATTTGTCGACATTCATTTGCTAATAATCGGCTGACTCAGTTTTTACGACGACTTCCACATTTTTCCTGTTATTACTCTTTAAACGAAGAGGGCGTATTTCGCGTAAAATCCGAAGAGAAATAAAATCATTCCTCATAAAAAAAAATAATCAGAAACGTTTCCAGGAATTGAAATAAGATTCAATTTTATAGTTTGTTATTAACATTTTAAACGTTGCTGAGAAACTAAAATTGATTTCGGTATTCAAAACAGCATATTTCAATATTTCTCGTTATGGAAAAAGAATTCTTTTGTAAATGATCGCAAATGAAGACACGGCTTGTAATTAGCGCGTCAGTTCAAATTATAAAGTCGCAAAAAAAAAAAAATTAATTCTTACGAAATAGCAGCTTGGAAAATAGTCTGATCTTCTTGTACAACAAATACTTTTGTAAATCTCATTACAGATGAAGAAAAAACTCGAAGCAACACAATGCCGAGAATACAGTACTATGGAAAATACGATACATTGATGCGTTTTCTACGGCAATCAAACCTTTACGGGTTATTTAAAGCCAGAAAATCTTTTCAGATTGTAAGATTTTTCTTTTGAGATAATGGTTTAGGGATACAAGTCTTACCAATTAACCCATAACTGGGAGGAGGTGAAGAAGTGGATTTATACCTAATCAGAATTTTATTTTGACGTGGATGTAAAATGGGGGATCAATTCTACATTACAATCAGTATGTAAATTGATCCCTCACTTTTTGATCACAGTTGCTGCTATATATTTATATTCTAGAGAATGTAAATAAATCTAAAAGACATACTCGTGTAGCTAATCAGTATTTCATTGATAAACTGATTTGTTGTCTTTGCAGGTTATTTAAAGTATAGTTTAGTGATACATGTCTTATTAATTAAACATTAAAATAAGATTAATAAATATGTTTGCTGGCTTTTTAAAGGTTATTTAAAGCCAGAAAATACTTTTAGGTTGTAAGAATATTTTGGGTATAATAATGATTTATTGATACACATCGTACTGATTAACCCATAGCTGGGGGATGAGGTAGATTCATGGCCTTTCCCAAGTGTATTTGCGTATAAGTGAATATAATGAACTCTATTGATACTGGAACTCGGCTATCCGATTTCCGATTCGAAGTCGTTATCCGTGACACCTCTCGCACGTCCAAGCTTACGGCACCTGGTCTTCCCAAACGGTCACCCATTTAGGTATTGACCAGGCTCGATGATGCTTAACTTTGGTGATCGTTTAGGAATCGGCGTTTCAACGTGATATGGTCGTAAGACTAAATTACACAGGGACAAGGGTTATGGAAGAGTATTTCAAACAATTGCTAAGCAGTATAATACTTATATATAAGGTTGACCACTGATGACATTTTTTTTTTCTATCCTCTGCCGGACACAATGATGGAGAAAGCATTACCTCGAACCATCGCGAGTGAGACACGCTGCAAGAGCCACTCCGTTTCACGAGGCTCGTCCCTTAATCGAGACGCAATCGCGCCAATCCTCCGAAGGAACGCCATCGAACGAGGGCCAATAACACCCTGAAGTCTTCACTGCCACAGGAGTAAAAAAAAAAAATCTATCAGCAAGAGAAGAATATTTAACTATTTTTTCATCTCTGCGTCCCGGGCGACGGATCCTGTCTCAACCGCGGAACTGATCAAATTACCGACCGAAAATATATCCGCACAGGTCGCATCCCAAATCAACAACTTCCCCATTTTAAAAGGGAAAATGGTAATGCCAACCGGCCGCCTTCCATCACCACGGTGCAGGCCTACGGGTTCGATTTGGGAAAGGAACCCAGCTGCATCCAAACCTCTTTTAATGATACTTGCTTTTTACGACCGCTTCTTAGTGATATTTTTATTTAAAACCACTATTCACCGCCTTAAGTAGCAGGTCTAATTGGAATAGCGATACTTAGGACCCCGGATGCTATTAAATGGCATTTACACTATTTATATTCGGACTATTGTTCTCATCTTCGTTATTGTTATCGTTGTGCCTGCTGGTCTTAATTAGATGTATATATATATTTGCTAACCTACAGGGAATTCTGAACATTTTTTTATCAGAATTCATCTTGTACATTTATAGATCTACCATTCATCCATACATTGAATATAATTGCCACATCTAGTCTGGTTCTCCTACAATATATCTTCAGATTCTTGACAAAATTCAATGAAGGGTCTGCTATATTATCGATCCTGAGCTGGCACCCCGACTTCAGCCATTTTCTCACCGACGGGTCATGTCTTCCCTCTATCTTTTCTACAAATATTTTTATGGCATTCTTCCTCGATTACATACATTTGATCGTGTAATAAGATTGGTCTTATCATGTAATAAGTATAAGATAACTAGGTCTTACCGTTTTACCGTTGAAGTAACTAGCTGCAACCGTCAGTTCTGTTCTGATAGTTTCTTTTCTCCCAATCCCCCCTTGTGGAGGTTCCTTTCCAATTTCTTGCTTCCTTGCCATCAGTCGTCCTGGGCAAGACTATAAACTACATCCGCGTCCTGGGTAAGACTATAAACTACGTCCAACAGCAAGGCCTCTGATTAGGAGGTTTTGAAGAGCGTGGAACCACCTCTTATTTGCTGGTGTTCCCAGGTTCACCCAGAACTGGGGTGGTAGCACCTGTTAGGGTCCCATCTATGGGCAAATAGTTAACCCCGAAACTGAGGTAAAAAGAATTATAAAAGTGTAAAAATAGGTTTTAATACCAGAAATAAATTTTTGAAGAAAAAAAAACTATTACCAGTAATATATTTTTGAAAAAAATATTACTAGCAATACTTTTTAAAAAAAAATATTACCTGCAATACATGTTATATTACCAGCTATACATTTTTGAGAAAAATTATTAGCAGAAATAGATTTTTGACAAAACAAAATATTACCAGGAAAAATGTTGTCGGCATTAAATAATCCATTGAGGTTTATATGCCTAAAACACTACAAACCAAACAAAAACAGAGGATTGTAGTGTTGTTAATTAAGATTTTTCTTATTTTGGATTATTTGAATGTGTTACTAGTGCTGCATTGTGTTGTTACAAGATGTTGTTTTTATAGCGCCGGTGTCATTAAGATGGTACGTGAGCCTGCGTGAGAGAATTGTGGTTGTGTGTCCAGTGTGTTTATATATATATATATATATATATATATATATATATATAAGAGAGAGAGAGGGCGCGGCAGGGATACCCTGATATATACCTCCCAGAAATACATCCCGCATAGTGGTAAGACATTAGCTAGATGAAGACGCCATCACCACTATTGTTGTTTTCTTGTTTTTCGCGAAACCATCGATCTGTTTGTATAGTAATTGGTCATGCTTAAATGCCATTGTCAGAAATACCCAACAAACGGAATTGACAAAGTTTGCAATAAACAAATGCAAAAGAAAGAAAAGGAAAGGGTAAAAATTATATTGAGTATAGAATATATGAAAGACAAAGCAACAGTAATAAGGCAAAACGTTCACAAAATAAGAATGGCGTTAAGACACAAAAGGGGACACAGACAAGCGATCGCAGCATTCTGACTTCAAAACAAGAAAGAACAGAAATAAGACAAATTAGACTGAGTAGTGGCCTATCTTATTGGGTAGGAAGAAATCCCAGCATGCATCTGTATGTTTTGTCTATAAATTTGGGAAGGGGGATGTTTTTGCAATCATTCCCATTTAGATTGGAACCAACAACAAAGACAAAGGATTGTAAAGGGGCAGAGGTTACTTAAGAGCCACAAAAGATAGGAAGTTGTGGAGAGCTATGATTTTGCATGTCATAAAGTTACATGGCATATATAAAGATAATTTATAAACTAAGCTTTCCAATCCTAGCAACAAAATTAGTCGTCGTAGGTCGTATGTGGCACAAGGCTGAATTTATCGTGGGTTCTCCGAGCCCGTAAGCTCGGCCAAAAAATTCCCTTAGAACCCGCCTAAACGGGTTCAGTGTCTGTCTACCTCCTCGGACAAAACTGCTCTTCGGCAAAGATTCGTCCGGGTTCCTCTCTGCCAAAGGCAGAGAGATCGACAGTTGAACAGTCTATATCAGTTTCCCAAAAATTACTTTTTCTTACTAACTTTAATGTAAGTGGAAGAGTCCACAATAGCCTCATTAGAGGGAAACATCACAAAACCGATTAAAACTAAATTTTGTGGAGACGTGCAAGAAGTTAAAGGAGTAAAAAAATATATACAGTTGGTGTTACGAAAGTGCGTAGTTCAGAACAATAAATTTTCATTTATTATTTTTGGAAAAAGTTAAGTTTTCTTATTTAACCTAAAATATTAATCATTAAAGCAATTTATTGATTAATATAAAAAATACTTGTTTAATAAAAATTCAGTTTTGCATATCTGTTTAAGTATCCAAGAATACACACTCCAGTTCGCAGAACATTTGCGAGAACTATAAACAAATCACAAAGCCAAACGCTTCAAGAAGTTAGAATTTGGCTCTAGAAAGGAATATTTACACATGGCCAGTATGTTGCATGCACAAGAGTAAGAAAGCCTAAGATTTTATTCTTCGCTGTTAAAAAGAAAAAAAAAGATTTTTTTGTCTTAAAATATTGTTTACCATGAAGTCCTATTAAATTTAAAAAAAGAAATTATTAAACCGCAAAGTTAAGGTTTTTCTCAAAATGTTTTATAAACAAATCAGGTGATTCAACTTTCATCGATTAGTTTGCAAATCTGGATTATAAATGTTAGCAATAACTTCAACAATACTAACTACTGTGAGGATTTTAACACGCTGAAAAACAATTCTAATATGTTAAAATGTCTAGTACTTGTTACCACTCACGCGCGCGCGCATATGTCGGGGGGGATGTTTACTAGTGCGCCCACGCTGCAACCGGATGTGGCACAAGATCAGTTTAAAGTGGGTTTACCGACAATACCGTGGAAAAAATTGCTGAAGCCCCTTCGACATTTCCTTTTTGGTGGACCCCTCAGGGGGCGGGTAATGACCACCACTCCCGAAGTAGATGTTGCACCTGGGATGTGAGCTTAATATTATTTTTAAAATTTCTCTGTCGAAACCAGGGAAAACACTTACGTGTTTCCGGGGAGGGAATATGTCTAGCGAGATGATATCTTTTTTTTTTCTTTCTTTAAAATTGTTTGTTTGTTTTTTTTTTTTTTTTTTTCGTAGATTTACATAATTTGATCCCACTACGCAAACCAGAATGACTTCGTTTACCAATATCCTATGTATTTGGGGAATCATAAAAAAAATCCAGCATTTAATAAACCATAAATGCTTATATAATTAATAAAAAAAAAATATTTTGATTCATAATTTCGTATTTATTGCTCCCTACCTAAAATAAAAGGAAGTCATGCTCGTTCCAACGTTAAAATTAGTTTCCCGAAATAAAGTTATTGAGCTATCTGCGACAGAATCATTGCTTTAACGATGGACTTGTAAGACTTATTACGAATAGTCGATTTAGATACGGAAATAAAAACTTATTTTCCAAGTCCTTTCCATAACTTAAAATATTTTTTTTTTTATGTATAACCATCTAACGCTTCCTTTCAAACACACACACACACACATACACACATATCAGAAGCGGATGTGTTCATGTCGATCGGGAAAAACGTTTCTTTGCCTTTTAAAAAGATTTTTATAGATCAACATAATTTTGTCTGACAGCCATCAAGAAAGACGCCAGAATTAACGTGAGGTCAAATTATCTCATTTCTATAACGGTTATATTTCCAGCCAACAGAAAAAGTATAATTCCTTCATTGATACATTCTGGTCGTTTGACTTTCAAATAAAATTTTATAGTCGTCATTTAGTCAATTATTTTTTTTTTACTATTTACATCATTGTTATGTTTCCATTAGTTACCTTCTAAGTATGTTGAAATGACTAGCCACAGTCAAGGCTCACAAAGGGAGTAACAGCTTGTTAAGGTTATGTTAGGTACTTGAGGGTATTTCCTCTATCCAGGTGCTTATTCATTTTCTCATTTACACGTGTTGGTGAGTGAATCAGTGATTTGATTTTTTTTACGGCCTTACATTTGCAGGTTATTTAAAGCCAAAATATATATTTTAGATTGTAAGAAATATTTTAAGAGAATAATGATTTACTGTCCTACTGATTAAACCATAGCTTATAGGAATAGGTTGAATATAACCGCACCGAATGGAATTAGAACTCTGTTCTCCGATTGAAACTGGATCAGAAGGTAACAGTAAGAGGGGCCATCATTTCAACTTAGAACTAAAT